TAACATTGATCTAGATTAGCGTAGATATATAACATGGATCCTTCGTCGGTTGACGACTATACGGATAAAAAAGATCGCTGACTTTTTGAAATCCACATGATGGGAGCTACATTTCCGTATGTTATAAGATGTAATCGTTGAATACATGAACATGGGAAGACAGCCGGAAGTTGACCAAAAAAAAAAGTCAAAAAATAAATGAGATTGGAATAAAAAAAACCTCTAGCTGGTTAGTGCCACTGCAGAAGTTATAGATATCTAGATTGTCTAATATTATTATATGAATTAAAGAATCTAGTTACTTTGGAGTTTGGATACATATTTGGTTTTCCAGTATTTGACTCGAAGCGCAAATCACGCCGATGAACATTCGTATACATATACATGTAATTAATGATGTAACTAGTTGCTCATATATATAAATTAATTATCCCAAAAAAACTACTTCCTCCGTTTCGAATTACATGTCGTTTAAGGTTTTCTCACACATTAAGAAAATTATTAAATTTTCTGTTTTCCCCTTTATTAATATATTTTATAATTCTTTTTATTGGCCAAAACATTGAAACAGTAAAGACAAAATTGGAAATTTCACCAAACATCTGCAATGAAAACCTAAAACGACAACTATTATGAAACAAAATTTAAGTTCTAAAACGACAAATAAACTGAAACGGAGGGAGTAGTTGATAACATGTACAATGTAAACCGAAAAGTTGTCTATATTTTGCTTGAGATTCAACCTACATACATATAGAAAGGTCTTGTCATTTGTTAGTCAGATTTAGAATGGGTTTAACATTCAATTTCTTGTATGTTCAATATGAGCAAATATAGCTAACAGTCTAAAACAAAACAAAAATATATATAGAGCTAAACAGTCGGTATTTATGTAGACTTATATCTATAATACTATATACTCTTTGACTTTGTAATCGCTTAGTAATTTTAGTTGAAACAGTTATATATTAACCTTGGCTACAGAATCAGTAAACTTACAAAATGAATTATTTAACAATGATAGTTTAATTAGTTGTCAAAATTTGACGATAAAACAAATTGCAAGTGGTTTGATGAATAACATGAACGGACAGTACGGCCACACCACAAACATTGCGGCTCATTTTGTGGAGATATTCAACGTGCTCCTGCATGCTTATCTTTGCTATTATCACCTTCGTATTAATACGTACGGTGCATCGCCGTATTAACATTAATATATTTCTTCCATCATTAATCATTTTATATTTTGCATAAATCCAAAAGCCAACGTAAATTTATCAATACGTAGGTCGGCTATATATAGCTCGCAGGACCTTGTGCATATATGATATACCATCAACACATTGTAAAATTAATCCTCTCAATTATACTCTTTTATTAGAGATACAATTGATAGATTTTGTTTTGCTGTTTCACTTGGCGTAAAAAGCTCACAATGTCTCTCGTTCTCTCTCTTTGCTTGGTCTTCCTTTGTTCTTTTGTTCATGGTTCTCATAGCTTACCAGCACAACGGACTCCTCATCTTGATGGTAAGACTATACTTTAATTAGTGCCCAAATTATCATATAATGCTCGATCTTATATTTGAGTTATTTAGTATGTTCTGTTAATTAAGATATTTATAAAAAGATATTGATATCAGAAGAAACAATAGTTTGCCAGTTTTAGAATTGGCGTGTTATAGAATTAATAGGGAACATGGATAAATAGCGTTATTTTAAATTTCAGAAATTTTTTTTTTTGGCATTTCAAATGGCCAATAATGTGTTCTTAATTCTGATTTATTTATTTTCGTCGTCAGCAACTTAACATCACCGGTAACACTAATACAAGGGATTAAACTATAATTAGCTCCGATCTTTTTAGTGAAACGATAATAATAAATTGTTGTTTAAGCTGATATATTATAGTTTTCATAGTAGACAAAATGTAAAATTTGGCTTTTTATGTTTACTAGGGCTTCTTCCAAATGGGGACTTTGAGCAAATTCCTAACAAATCAAACATAAGAAAGAGGCAAATAATTGGCAAATACTCTCTTCCTCATTGGGAAATCTCCGGCCACGTGGAGTTAGTCTCCGGCGGTCCACAGCCTGGAGGTTTCTATTTCGCGGTGCCACGTGGAGTCCATGCGGCCAGACTAGGAAACTTAGCCTCAATATCTCAGTATGTGAAAGTAAAGCGTGGCTTAGTCTATTCTCTAACATTTGGCGTCACGAGGACTTGTGCTCAAGACGAGAACATCATAATCTCCGTACCCGGTCAAACCAATGAGCTGCCGATCCAGACACTGTTTAGTACCAACGGTGGCGATACGTATGCTTGGGCTTTTAAGGCAACGTCTGATTTGGTTAAGGTCACTTTCCATAATCCTGGTGTTCAAGAGGACCCTTCTTGTGGCCCGCTCGTTGATGCTGTTGCCATCAAGGAGATACTTCCTCTCCGGTATACCAGAGGTAACTTTCAATTTTGGTTTGGTTTTGTTTTTGTTCTCATTCGGTTTTTGACTTCAATTTAACTTTCTTTTTTTCGGTTTTAGTACAATACATTCTTGTTTTAGAAGAACATTAACTGAGGTATCTAGCACATAATGGGTTTAGTATAGGTTTTAAGCGGTCTGGATACATTATACTGTATATCTATATTAAACCGGGTTTAGTTGGATTTGGGGTCTAACCAAAACTCCCACATGTACATTTCTTCAACTTTTTTTTTTTTTGCAATTTGGTCCTTTATTTTCATATATTGTTTTCTATGTCGCCCTTAATTTCTAATTTTCTTTGCATTGAAAAATATTCAGGAAACCTTGTGAAAAACGGCGGATTTGAGATCGGTCCACACGTATTCAGCAACTACTCCACCGGAATCTTAATCCCGGCGAAGATACAAGACCTAATCTCACCGCTTCCAGGATGGATCGTCGAGTCTCTAAAACCGGTCAAATACATCGATAACCGTCACTTTAAAGTCCCCTCAGGTCTCGCCGCAATCGAGATCGTCGCCGGAAGAGAAAGCGCAATCGCTCAGATCATTCGTACCGTCGCCGGTAGAAACTACATTCTCTCGTTTGCAGTTGGTGATGCACACAACGGTTGTCACGGATCGATGATGGTTGAAGCGTTTGCGGGGAAAAACGCGTTTAAACTTAAGTTCGATTCAAATGGTAAAGGAGCGTTCAAAGCGGGACGTTTTGCGTTTCGTGCCGATTCGAACCGCACGAGATTAACTTTCTACAGTGGGTTTTATCATACCAAGCTTCATGATTTTGGACACCTTTGTGGGCCTGTGCTTGACAATGTTAGAGTTGTCCTGACCCGTTAATATTATTTTTAATGTTATAATTATATATCTATTAGTTAATATATCTTATACAATATTCTATGTTCGTAAGCGAAATTAATAAGACAATTATAAAGAGTCGGTGTTTCGATTTCAACTACATTTTCTTTACTTCTGTAAACACATTCGAAGCCTTAATATAGTAATTATTTATGTTTCTTGATCCAATGAATATTGTATGTATTATACAATTTGGTAACATTAAATATTGACTAAAAAAATAGTATATTACACTGAACAGTCTGACGGAGATTTCAAATCTGTGGATCTCTATATTACCTACATAGCAAAAAAGACGTAGAAGTGAAAGAAAAAAAAAATCAGATTTTGTGACAAAAAAAAAAAAAAAACAGATTTTGTGACAAAAAAAAAAAAAAAATCAGATTTAAAACCACAATTAAATACTAATAAAAAATATTTTCTTTGGAGGTAAATTGACTTAAAGAGCAAATCATGGCGATGATTAATCAGCTGAGACCCATATGTGGACTCCCTTTCATATCTCTTGTGTCCACACATGCTCATTTAATTGTAAATCTCATCCACTGTTTTCTTTGTTTAAACGTTAAAGCTTTTTATATGTATATAAGTAACACGTGAAGCTTTTATTCAACAGAAGAAACGAATACTACGTCGATTGCGGAGAAAAGAACCAAAAAGTTGACTATGTTTTGCTTACGTATAATTTTTTTTTCGGTAAAATTACGTATAATTCAATGTATATAGTTGTACAAAGAAAAAAAATGTAATGTATGTAGTTTTTTTTTTGGTAAAAAATAATGTAATGTATGTAGTTGTATACAATTAGATGAACACAAACGATTTAACCATATTTTTAATTAAGATCTCAATTTGTGGTCAGTATATAGTTTATCATGTCGTATGTAAGGATCTTCTAATTTGAATCCAGCGCCAGTTGATAATAATATGCTCCATTAATTGCTCCTTTTTCCACTTTTGTGAGTTCAAATTTCCCAATCACAAAAGAGAACAAAAGAAAGGACACAACAAATCATATACTGTATGTATATTCTTTATAAAAAAAAAAAAGCAAATCATATATATACGGTGTGTAAGAAATTCGTGCTTGGAAGTTTCATCGCATATTTTTCAGCGTCACAACTGGTCTCGCTTGATAACCTTTTCTTTTGTTTTATTATAACCGCATCTTGATATTTCACTGCACAGCACACATTACATTTCATTTGCTAATGTATTACAGTAATTAGTAATAATATTCGATCATTTTATAATTACCGAAATAACATGACAGACAGTGAAAAAAAAAAAAAAAAAAAAAAAACATGACAGACAGTGAGTCACACATTGCGGCTCGTAAGGTGCGGTCTAGATTGTTACGGGTCTCTCTGTTCATGGCCTTTCCTATATTTTCTAAATTCAATGTAGAATTCAGAATGTCTCAATTCTCGTCTGTGTCCCTTCAGAGAAGTATGTGAAGATTTGGTATGTTACTACACTCTGCACAAATCGTATGTGAATATTATCCAGTACTGGTTAACCGACTAAGTTGACCAATTTGGTTTGGTTTTATCCAGTACGTGGCTTCTTCATCCTCATGTAAGTCACTCGCCTCCTCATCCTCCTGGAAGCCCTTAACTACAAGTGAGAAAGGGAAACTACTTGTGGTAAGATGTTTTAAATCAGGATAACATGGGGTCAAATTTAGGCAAACCAAACTAAAATTTAGAAATCTCAATGTTTTCAGATATTAAAACAGGCCTTTGGTTGCTTCCTCAACTCACCATGGTGGCACTCTCCGGATGAGCCTGATCTCCAGCTTCAACCGCCTCCTCGTCTTTCTCATAGCTCCAAGGCACAGAGAGCCGCTTCGACATCTGCTTGAAAACCAAATGCACATCCGGTGGAAAAAGATACCATGGGGTCAAATTTATGCAAACAAAACTACAGCAAAAACAGTTGGACAATGGCAAAACGTATCAAGTCCATCTGGTATGGCTAGGATGCTTACATACCTCCAGTCCATGTTCTTTACTATCGAGATGCATGGTGAAATTTTCAAAGCCCTGGCCACAAATATTGTCTCTGCATGCTGAGCAAACCCAGGGGACAGGTTCACCCGTCTCACTGCACTTATCCTCCTCAAGTGTCTTTGAATCTGTGGGAACAAAAAAAAGTGGCTAGTTCAGAAACAGATTTGCTCGATATTTCAACAACACTGAGAAATGACAAACACACACACCTTTCAGAAGAAATTTTTTCCAGAGGGACACTACATTACGACGAAACAGCTGAATAATGTTGTATCCCAACTTTTGTAGACTCCAAATGATATCCTCTGGACAGGGGCCTATGAGCATCATATGAGCTGGAGATGAAACCCTATAGGTCCACACATAGACAAAATTCACAAAGTCTTTGGAACCTGTTTCAAAAAACCAAAGACTTGAGACTCTCGATTCATCAAGGAAGGAAAAAATATATACATTACTGTAGAAAGGCAAAAGGACTAACCGCGGAGGACGTTCCTAAGAACGATTCCAGTGGTGGACGAGAGGTCACGCAGGACATCAACAGGGACGTCTGATAGTAGGCCAATGACAACGATGGTGATACGACCAGAGTAGCCTTCATTCTTCAAAAACCGTTTAATACAGGGACCGACCCGACGAGGATCATAGCCAGGGGGAACAGGAAAGCGGTTGATGTCCCAAAAGACCATTACAGACTTAGCCCTCTCATCCATGTACGAGGCCTTCATGATACAAGATAGCAAGGGGTCAAATTTAGGCAAACAAAACTAAAAGTGAGAAAGTGGTAAGAGGTTGTTTGACTAAAAGAACGGTTAGACAATGACAAAACGTAGGGCTTAAGGATGCATAAGTACCTCCTGTGCATGTTCTAGAGTATTGAGATGCGTGGTGAAATTTTCAAAGCCTTGGCCTTTAACCTTAAAGCATACTGAGCAAAGCCAGCGGGCAGGTTCACCCGTTTCAGTGCACTTAAGTGAGGCTGGGAAGAAAAAAAGAAGTAGATAGTTCAACAACAAGAAGAGATTTGCTGGTTATTTCTACAAGACTGTGAGAGAAACACACACCTTCCAGAAGAAAGTCTTTCCAGAGGGATTCTGGATTAGGAGAATCACATGGAAACAGCCGAAAAATATTGTATCTGAGAAGACCTTTATTGGCAGGAATGTGCAATGAGGGATTGGAGGATATGAACATGATATTAGTCGGAGGGTCACTAAAATTGATCCAATCGTATATTGTTGACAAAATGCCTACGGAACCTGTAAAGACTTATTAAGACTCAGGAAAATATTCACTAGTGTATATATAAAGGCATAATTAAGGATTACTAACCGTAGGAGACGTGGTTAAGAACGATTCCAGTGGAAGAGACCGCTTGTAGGACGTCAGAAGGGACGTCTGTTAGTAGGCCAACAGCAACGATGGTGACAGGACCAGAGTAGCCTGAATCCTTCAGAAACCGTCTAATACACGGAGCGACCCGACTAGCATCACAGGCAGAGGGAACCGGACACGTCTTGATATCCCAAAAGACCAATGTTGGATCCTTAGCGTACTTCAGCATCATTCAAGACTTTAAAACCTAAACAAAATCAAATTCAAACATCAGAACACTGCCCGTAATCGCAAATACAACTTGTGTGGCAAATACATAATAACTTTAGGGTTCTATGCAATACTAGTGTTAATCAATTTTCTAAGATGAGAGTTTACCTGAGAGAGATTACGGGGAGATTTGGTTGGATCTAGATATCGACTAGGGTTTCGGACTTTGTATCTATAGAGGTCTAGATCGGGTTGCCAATAATAAAAAGAAAAAAAGACAGGGTCGAGAATAACCGGCGACGCTTTATATATATATACTAGTGTTAAGGCCCATGCCATGCATGGGCTAAGATTTTGATTAAAATTTTATGCTTAACAATTACTAATATATATATATGTGATGAATAAATTAAATATATAAATGTTGTATAAATTAAACAAAAAAAAAAACTAATTATAACAATGTGTAATATCTATTGGCATAAATATTTAACGAACATAGAATTAGATTAAACAAAAATGAAATTATCAATTTCATTTTTTTTTTTTTTTGTCAAAGATTATCAATTTCATGTAGTAACAAAATTTTCATTGTTTGATTCATAGATTAAACAAAAATTTCATTGTTTGATTAAAATCACAATCATTGTTTAAGCGAAATCAGATCTATTAATTGTTATAAAAAAATGGAACGTAGAAATGAAAAGGTTTTTTCTTGTTTTTCTTTTACTTTTGATTAATAGTGAATTTAGTTAGTTATGAGAAAAAAAGAGAAAATTGTGGGGAAAAAAGTGTTTTCTCAAATAAATAAGTAAATAGAACGTGGGATGAAGAAATGAAAAAGATTTTTATATTTTTGATTAGTTGAGTTTAATTAGGAAAGAGGATAAAAGGAGAAAATTGTGGGAAAAAGTTAATTTTTTTTTATCAAATAATAAGTAAATTGGCATAGAAAAGTAAAAGTAGAGATTTTGAGACTTATAACACGTGGCAGATGGAGAAAGCAGAGTTATTTGAAAGGTAACTGTTGATTTAGTAGATATAGATAAGGTTGAGAATGGACTTCGTTTTTTTCTGTCGGCAAACGAATGGACTTCGTTTTAATGGGCCTTTTTCCATTCGTTTTAATGGGCCTTGTTTTGTACGAATCGGCCTTATGCACCAATCCTAGTCCTAGTATGTACATTTATCTTTTTATATCCTATTATTCTATTCAAAGACGAAGTCATTGGACAAATCATGGCATGTACTTGGGTTAGGCTACAACCCGGGGGTGAGCATGGATGAGATACAGAAATGCAGCAGTGATTAAATACGAATATATATATAAGTTACTAACATCAATTATAGAGAGATATTCAATCAATTTTGTAAAGAAAAAAGTATTATTTTGTTTGGTAACGTTAGGATATTTCAGATCTCTGGTCTTTGATTGTCTCTAACTTGCAAAGATATATTAGACTATCGTACATATATAATACAATTAATTAAACTAATATTTCTTTTGGACTTTATTAAGCCTCGACTTATCGTAAATTTCTTAGCCACGTCGACCTCTTCATCTATTAATTAAGTGTTCTCTACAAATTAAAGAACAATTAACAGCCGGCCGGTTAGTAATGAGCAATTGAAAGTAATCTATATTTAGTTCTTTACGTTCCTGAATGTTCACTATATATCATTGCACTGATGAAACATATTGTGGATCATGAACAAAAAAAAATACATTTTTCATTTCTATTTGTATTCATAAAAGATTTCATGGTTTTATTTTTTTGGTATCAAGGAAAAGATAGAAGAATGTGCTTAAGACTAGTACTACACCAGCTTCAAAGACAATAAAATCTCGGCATGTCTGAAGGAAGCAAAATATAATTTGATCTCGGCTTGAAAGAAATCGATCAATGATATATATGGTAAGAGTTGGAAAAAGTTCACTAACTTGGTAACTCCCGGCCGTCATAAAATTTGATTAGCGCAACGCTGCTAGAACGAATGAATTATCATTTAACTTTACTTGATCTCTAAACCTAAGAAAAATATGTAAACCGTATAAGAAAAATTATAAGAAATAAAAAAATCATTTAGATAATACAAAATAGGGGTGACCAAAGGCATGTTACCACTACGATTGAACGATCTCCTATATCATGTATGTTATATGGTTGGTTGGACTTGACTCTCGAGGCACCATAATGTGGCCATCCTTTTTTATATATCTATTAGCATTTTAAATTCGAAGGTAGATAAGGTGTATCATATAATAACGTTAAACCCAAAAAGAGAAAGTTTTAGGATAGCAAGGCTAATTAAGGTTCATTTATTTGATTACAAACTTTTATTATATATATGATTCACACGAAAATCATGATTTACCATCGCCAAATTGAGCTAATTATAGTCATTCCTCTTTTTATGTCGGATCCACTATATAACTCTTGGGATATACAGTTTACCGTGGTCTTATTCTTCTAAGAAAAAATAAATCCATGTTAAGAAATTAACACTCAAAATAAATTAATGTAAAATTTGTATGTTTTTATTAATTCTAGTATTAACGCTCCGTGGTTATGCACGTGAAGATTCACTAACTAATCATAAACAGTTTTTTGTTCAAAAAGAAAAAAAAATCATTTTTTTGTTTTTTTTAAAAAAAAAGTTTTAAAAAAAAATCATAAACAATTTATACATATGCCGGGGCAAGAGAATTCAGATTTGCCAACCCAAAAAAGCGCATTGCTCCATAATATTATAATGCATAACTTTCGAAATACTATATTAATGCATCGCAACGTAGGTTATTGAATCAGAAACGCAAAAATGCATACATATTCCTAGCTCCTACGCGATATAAAACATATATAGAAACGAATTATAATTTATACGAATTCAATAGTTTTCACACAAAAAAAAATGATTGTCATTGTCATTGGCTCATTGCAAAAGGTATGTATCAAAATTAGTATTTTGTCACATGTAGATTTCCATGCATATTTTGTTGGAGAAACATATAAACAAAAATATTTGTCGTAAATTATATCAAAAATGTTATTTATACTTGATAATTTGTATACGGGTCCGTATAGTAGCTAGTTTCAGTAAAGAATTCCCACCAAGTCATTTTATTTTATATCCGAAGAAAAATGGAGGAAGAGATCCGTTAAAAAGAAAAGAATATAGAAATAGGATCGTAGCTGTCAAAAAAAAAAAAAAAAAAGAGAGGATCATATGAAGACAGAAGTGTAAGAAAAACATGAAGACATAAAAGTTACACATCGGGCCTGTTCTTTTTGTTACCGCTGCGGCAGCGGCATGCGGCCAAAAAAAAAATTTATCAGATGTAAAACTGAAATAAATATTATTCGATTTCAATTATATTTTCTATATGTACTTCTGTAAAAAGGTCGTTAAGAAATTGATATTCATGCTGCATGCCAAAAAAAAAAAAATTGATATTCATGTTTCTTGATCAAATAAATATTGCATTGTGTATTTATACTTGTAATATTTAATTTATTGACTGACGACAAAAAATAGTATATAACACTGAACAAGTAATGAGATTTTAAATCTGTGGATCTGTAGATCAGATATACTCTTATACATACCAAAACGACATAACGTAAAAGAAAATCAGATTCAAAATCGCAACTAATATTCAATCATTTTTTTTTTGTTTGTGGACGTAAATTTGACTTAAAGAGCAAATCATGGCGATGATTAATGAGCGAAGACCATATGTGGACTTCTGGAACTCCGCTTAGTATCTCTTGTGTCCACACATGCGCATTTAATTGTAAATCTCATTGACAATTTTCTTTGTTTTAACGTTTGTTTTTTGTACAAGTTAAACGTGAAGCTTTATTAAACAAAAACTTACGTCGATTGCGGAGAAAAGAACCAAAAAGTTGACAATGTTTTGCTTAATTACATGTATATTCAGTGTATGAAATTAGATGAGCACAGACGATTAACTAGATTTCAACATTGTAACTCATGTTTTTTTTTTTGGTTTTAATGTGAAGACATTGTAACTCATGTTGGTGTAAAGCTCTAAACTTTTGATGAATTCAGCGCCAGTTAATAAATAGATATATGCTCCATTCATTGGCTTTTGTTTTCCCCCACTTTTCTGAGTGCAACTTTTCCGATAATACTAATTTTTATAAAAAAAACAACTTTCCGATAATAAAAGAAAACAAAAGAAAAGGCACAACAATTCCTTTATTATGTTAAAGGGAAAAATGGCACGACAATTCATCGATCTAACACATTTTGAAAGACCGACTGGATTATTTTTTCTTTTTGTTTTTTGTCATCAATCGGATTTTGTTAGTTCATTTAAATCTTTTGATTATATTTTTTCACAGCGACATAGCTCGTGATGTTTTTGTAAACACCATGCACATATATATTCGTTGTGTTAGAATTCGTGCTTGGAAGGTTCGTTGCATATTTTTCAGCGTCACATCTGATATCTCACTGCACACAAAGCACAAGAGGACGTATTTTTATAAAGATTCATTTGGTAAAGCGTTAATTAGTAATTTTCTAATATCTTTTATAACCGAAGTAACATGACAGACAGTGAGTCACACGTTGCGGCTAGTAAGGTGCGGTCTTCAACGTGGTTCGAGTTTCCCTACGTATACGCCTATTCGGAAACTTTCTTTAATTAACTAAACAATTTTTTGCCGACAATTTTCTATTGTTGTTGTATATTTCCAAAAATGTTCATGCTGCTGCTTCCTCTTCTTTTCTTATACTAGCTATAATATCTCTTGTGGCTTAAGTTTAAACCCCTATATATATATATAGCCCACAAGGTCCTCATTGATATAGGCGAACTAATTAATAAGACTTTAAAATGTCTCTCTATCACTCTCTTAGCCTTTTCCTCCTTTTCTCTCTCTGCCATGGCTCTTACAGTCTCCAACCACGTCGAGTTCCTCATCTAGACGGTAAGACAATCAATCAACATGAAGTTGTAATATTCATTTCTATATCAATTATTTGTATACATCATACATCTAAACATGAACTTGTAATTAATACTTGTGGTTTCCATCTTTATATATAGGGCTTCTCCCAAATGGAAACTTCGAGCAAACCCCTCTCAAATCAAACATGAAGGGTCGACAAATAATCGGCGCTAACTCTCTTCCTCATTGGGAAATCGCCGGCCACGTGGAGCTAGTCTCCGGCGG